AGGAATCTCTTCATTTCGATTATCATTTTAATGGAAAAGCCATAGGCGAAGCCGGCAGTCGCTCTGAAATGGATTTAGTTTCCTCTTTTCCCTATTACAACAAAGGTAAAATTGAATAAATATAATTAAAACAATTGTTCGTCAATTCTGAAACGCGAACTTTCATAAAGAAGACCCAATGATGAAATAATTTATTAATACATTAAATTTCTATGCGATTAATTAATTAAAAGATTATTAATTCTAAGTCCTCATATAATTAAGACTTAAAATTAAGTTTTTTCTATGAAATTGGCTAAGAATTTATGGACATTGTAATAAGTTTATTTCAAACATATATATATATACACATTCTAAATGTCATAATGTATGTTGCATAGCGCCCTTTATATTGCGCATGTTTCGATATCTAATTACCGATGAAATATTTCGAGAGGGTGTCCGCAAATATGTAAGCAGGCAGTGAGTAATATAAAATTGTATTTAATAATTACATGTCACATATATATACACAAATTGTATGTTAAATTTGTACACATATATTAGTCTATATTTTTATTTAAATTAAGTAATTAAATATAAACAACTTTATATATTTCCTGATATACGATCTATTACAATGTTTACTGTCAATGATGTTAGAGATTTTTCAAATTTAGGGCATTTCATTCAACGGCAACTTCTAACAATTTTTGGACTGCTATGGAAGATGCTCTGGATGAGAAACTAGAACCAGAATACATATATGAGCATAATATTAATTTAAGAGATACAATGATTGGTTGGATGAAACAAGAACATTATCCCGTAGTATCGCTAATACGAGACTATCATTTTGGCTGGGTTTCTGTATGGCTAGAAAGCTACGTTCAATCGGAAATGCAGGAGTTGGGAATTCCTTTGACTTTTACCTCGCAGACATATCCCAACTTTAACCGTACTTCGCTCCGCGATGTCAAATGGTTGAAATATAAAGGAATAACTGATTGGCCGAGATTGAGTGGATTCTCTATGAATCGCGAAGAGAATGGTTGGATAATAGCCAATTTGCAGCAATCTGGTGAATATTGATCTATATATATATATAATATGTATCCGTTTATATTCTACGTATAATTGATGTTTTACTAAATATCATTCTATATTTTTATTTGCATCGTTTAATAACGGAAGCTCAGATATATCACATGTACACACTAATATATTATAATATTCAGTAAAATTGTATTTTCTATACTATAGTATCATTGAATTTAATCTTACTCTGCTTATAATTTGTTTGTTATTTATGCAGTCAAGATCAATTCAAATTGATAACAAAATTTTGTACGTAACTTAATTCTACGGAATTACACACAATTTGTAAAATAATCATATAATTAATAATTAATAATTTGAAATTTTTTTTTACAATATGATTATTTTATTCTTATACATTTTGCGCGCGCGTGCACCAACATACATACACACGCACTTTAAATGCAAAAAAAAATTAAATTTAAACAAAGAAAAATATTTGCGTAAATATTTGTTGTCATAAATTTAATCAAAAGGATTTAATAATACATTAAATTTATTTATTACGCGACAGGATACTATCGTGTAAATTACGATTCCGAGAATTGGAATAGAATTACGACTTATCTGAATTCTGAGGAGTATACGAAAATACACGTTCTCAATCGTGCACAAATCATCGACGATTCGTTCCATCTTGCAATACAAGAACAACAGAGTTTTTCCTTATTCTGGAATCTCACGAGATATCTGTCGCGGGAGACAGATTACATAGCATGGTATCCTATGTTCAAAGCTCTCGAATACATGTCTAACATCTTTCCATTTCAAAATAGAATAGTCGACGATATCAAGGTAAATAGTACCATAGAATTTCTTTAAAGAGGACTGTATAGAGTGTCCGAGGAGGAGAAGTCAATATTCTGGAAGGTAATGATATCAGTCATTTTAAGCAAAAATGTTCATATAAATGAGTGTTCCATTTCAAACGGTTTCCGAGATAGAACTGTTTGAATGTACAGTTGCAAAATTACTGATAAGAAAGAGATACTATTACTATACAAGTACTGTTTCTAATTTATTGTTCAAGTGACAAATATTTTTTACAGTTTATAATAAATTTTAATAATTTAAATTAATAATTATTCTAGTTATTTTAATTTTAATATTTTTTGTTTATTATTCGGGAAGAACACTCATTCATATGAACATTTTAGCTTAAAATGACTGATATTATCACCTTCCAGAATATTGCTTCTTCCTGGAACACCCTATATAATAGGCATTATACATTGACTTTTTAGTAAAAGTTAAGCACTATTTAATTTGTGTATATACACACACACATTCATATATCACATCTTTCTTCAGGAAACATAATAATTCAAAATATAGAATTGATAATATTTGACAATATTTTTAGATTTCTCTATATAAAATATTGGGTGATCTTCTTGCAAGAATAGGATATCACAGACAGTTTAACGAAAACATTTTCACTGAATACTTAAGACAAGAGGCCACAAAATGGGCATGTACTCTCAATTACCAAGATTGTCTAAAAGAAGCCAATAATAAATTGCAACAATATTTCATACATCCTGAAAGAAACATGTACATATCCTTATTTAATTTTCATTTACATATTTTTTTGTTGTATTACACACATATTTCTTAATAAATTATTTAATTAAGAAATGCAAAGATTAAACATCTTTTTTCTTTTTTTTTTTTAGCTTGTTTCCATGGTGGAAGGAATGGACATACTGTGAAGGTTTGAAACTAACAGATCGTTATACTTGGTGGAGTCTAGTTCATACACTGTTAGAAAAAGATTCATATATACAAAAAACTAATAAAACTTTGGAAATGTTGGCTTGCCCTCAAGATTTAAATATTATTAAGGAATATCTTAAACTTATAACATTCAATATAAAGAATCCAAATCTTCTAAAGATAGAACAATTTGAGAATATTCATATTTTTCATTCTATTGTTGCAAAGCACTCTAACGACTTTGGTATACTTGAACACATATTTTCGAATTTTTTCGGTATAAAACCCAGGTAATAATAATTTTTTAAATAATATATATCAATGAAAAATTCATAATCATAAAATTTGTTCATATATTAACAATAAATCTGCTGCATTTTGTTTTCATAGCAAAGTTAGTACAATTGCAGCGTTAATTGATATTATTAACCATGTGTATTCTGAAGAACAACTTAAAAAGGTAAGTTTTATAAAGTTAAATCTCATTTATTTATTAAACTTTTTAAATTAATCTTATATATTTATATACTTGTACATATATTTATTATTTGTCTTAATTATGTTAAAAATTATTTTACATGATAAACATGCAAGAATATTATAAGTATTCTCTTATAATGCAAGAATAAATTACTTATTATAAAAAATGTAAAAATAATCTGTTTAAGGTGAGCCAATTGATAGATAGGATATCTTTAATAGAAGAGGAATCTAATATAGAAGGATCACTAAGTTCGTATATTGAATACAAGGTCAACTTACGATCGTCTCAAATAGAGAAACAAGCAACCTTTCTTCAGCTTTTAAAACCTGCAGAAGATGTAATGTATATACGACGTTGAAAAAAAGGGTTGATCACGATAGAAGATAATATATTTTGCTGATGTTTTTGCTGATATTTCTATTTTTATATATATATCATTTGCTCTCTATTATCTTTTTAATACTTATTTTTGATAACTATAATATTATTAATTTTAATAACGTCAGTTCCACAAGGTACTATTTTATATATTAATAGACTATTACTATCACTATATATACTTTGTTTTGCTATTAGAAAATGTCGTAATTTAAGATTTGTTTTACAACGCATATCTATATTACAATGTATCATACAAAAAGAGCTAAATTAAAAAAATATACAAATTAAATAAATATATTTTTTTAAATTGAGACAAATTAATTATCTGAGATAATTTGTTATATTAATGCATCTTCAGAACGAAGATATTCTCCAATGTCTGCTTGGTGAAAGCAAATTGTTGCCATAGGATCCGCATGTTTACAATCAACTGTACTTTTTGCAGCAACGCCAAATCCCTGAAATATTTAACAACCAATATTATAAAAGAGTTTTACATGCATTGCTTTATTTTCATTGTACATTAATAATGTTTGAAACAAGTATATAATTAACAATATCTTTAAAAAATTGTGAATTTAATCAAATAATTTACATACCAGAGGCACATCGCTCATGGAAAATACAACAACGCCTTGATATTGAGAAGTGCCTTCGGTTATACGAGCAAGACCTGATTTCATAATATGGTGTCCATATAGAAATTGTTGTTCCGCCGAAGATTTCACCCAAATTTTATGCTTAATGTAAAGATAATTGTGATTAAATTTACATATATGTCTTAAGAATTGCATTTAATTTGATACTTACTTGTGCATAAGGCGCTAAATAATGCAATGCAGTGACATGCAGCCTAAACTTTCCCGATTTTGTGAATTTACCGAAGCAAGTACCTGCGCTCAACAAATGATCGGATCCCACAGTACTCGCTAAAGATAAAATCTTCTCTGACATGTAATATACTCTGTCCTTATTCTCTCGGAAACAATACACGCCGTCTGATCGATCTATCAAGTTTTTTAAATTGGAACCGACACTGTAACAATGAAATTTGATAAACATTAAATTTATTTCTATACTTCTGAAGTGTCTTTACATCTTACATTTAAATAAAATTTTATATAAAATAAAAAACTAATTTAAATAAATTGCCAATCTAATAAGTCGCTTACTACTTCGTTAACTTCTCAAATACGAGCTTTGTTCTCTCTTCCGACAATTGCTTCATTTTTACGGCAAAATTATATACACATTCACCACGTGTTTATTTCATAGAAAAGCATGTGCTACCAGAGAGGATACGATATGTATCGTCGCGATGTCGCTAAAAAAAAAAATATTTTCCATCTTGTTCACCAGACGGCGCGACCAACCGAGTTACGATGTAAAATATGAGTTGCGTCAATCTTATCAACGTGGCTCGTCAGTTGGTCAATTGCCGATTGGAATTGCCGGGTTGGAATTGTTGGAGTATATATTGAAGATTGGAGCGCACTTTCTCCTATCAACGGTATTCCACCGTAGACCGTAGACAGTATCGTGTATTAAAGAGGACTGAAGGACTTGTCAAAAATGAATAAAATTGTTTTCTCGTACGCTTTAGCGAGCGTACTCATTTCCGCGGCTTTCGCTACGACAGATAAAGTCTGTCAAAAACCCGAGATCGTCGCTTCGTCATACGTGACGGAAGACGCAACGGTTCTCACGAACGTCGCCTTCACCATGCAGTTTGTGTTAAAGTGTAGCGACGGTGTAAAGGGAATCAGTCTTTACGCCGAGGTCGAGGGCAAGTTATTACCGGCGGCTAGATTGAGCGCTGATAATAAATATCAGGTAATATGTTAATCGACTAGCCTGCATGTAATTGCTTTAATAGAAATAGATCGAATCGAAATATACCCTTGTACATTACACACATATTGTAAATATTAGTAAATAAATTAATATATAATTACAGCAAGAATAATAATATAGTTGAAAAGATATCTTGTAACTAAACTCTCTTTTTTCATTTAAAATTGACGATTGTAAACTAATAATATAAGAATACTTGTAACACATTTGTTTTGCACGTTACAGATATCTTGGACAGAAGATATCAAAAAAGCGAGATCTGGCGATTACTACATAAAATTATATGACGGAGATAAATACAACGCTGTTCGCAAAGCCATAAGGAACGGAGAGGATAGTGATAGTGTGAGTCCTTTGGCAGTAGTTGTCCTCAACAATCCAGGCGTATATCTTGGTCCTTGGGTGAATTCTGAATTTTTGGCTGCTTTCTTAGCTAGTTTTGTATCCTATTCGGCATTTTCTGCAAAGTACAAACTTCTAGCATAGAAAATTTTTGTTATTAAAAAATAAAATGTTTAAATATAACAAAAAGAAAAATGTTATTTATCCTTATATTATAAATTTTTTTCGCGCAAACTATAATTTTTTTTACGTCTTTGTATTTAAGTAGTCATTGTGAAGAAGTTGTAGAGAATCAAAATTTTATTATATCCACATTTAAATTATCAATAACTATTGAGTCTTTTTATAAATATATCATAATTCTAATTTTTATATTAATAGAATTCTCTCTTACCTTGTTTTAAATAATTTGTTAAACTCTCTACATTAGATATAGTTTGTATACAATCTTAGCAAAAATATTATTATATTATAAAATTAACAAAGTAACATATAGGACATTATAATATGTTTAATATATGTCATGTGGCGGTGGTTTTCCAAATAGGTGTTTCCAAGATGGTGGATATTTTAAATTATCACCACTGTTTGTTTCTAACACTTGTATCCATTGATTTAAGTAACACACCAGAGCTATCGCATCTGCGATATTATCTCCCTCGGAACAGAATTTGAATAAGATTGCACAAGGAATATTGGCATGTGATAAAAAGTTAAAGATACTCTTTGCAAATCCACCTCCTGGTATCTGTAACTTTCCCTCTTCCCTTGTATCAGATATAACTTTTGGTTTATGTGGAATCCAATTGAGATCATCGAAAAGCTGACCACTCTCAGATTGTATGCCAGAAGATGCGACGTATCTCAATTTGAAATGCTGCGGCTGGATATCTCTCTTTTCGTAATCATAACTGCTCGCAAGAATTATTACCTGAAGGAGAGGAGAAAAATAAACATTATATATATTTCATAAAAATAGAATCAAATGCACAAAATAGTACTCCACTGAAATACATTACTTTAGCTATTTTTCTTTCAATGACGAATCGCGCCAGTTCGTCGAAAAATTCGGTTAGCTCTCCCACATACGGCGAACGAATCTGCACAACAACAACATGTTCCTTGAATCCTGCATAGACGTCGATCGCTGTAATAAGCTCGTTTGAACATTCGTGATAAGCGTTTGCGCCGATGATAGGCACAAATGCCGCGCTGAAGATCTGACCAATTTTTTGAAGGTTAAGATTTGAAATAAGCAAGTCGACGGACAATTGCCCGACGTTTCCAACCGCTACCGATGGCAAAATAAGAGTATAATCTTCCAGATTAATATCCTGCTTTAATTTAATCATTTTTCCAATTTAATGACGCTATCCTCTATCGTATTCAAAACAGGAGGCAAATATTTTTGTAATGTCACAATTTATCTGTTCCCATTGAACTCTATACTAGAGTCCTAATGCATTGAGATTGAAATTTGACTATCAGGACAGGGAAATTTTAGTTCCTTTTATCCTGATTGGTCAAATTTCAATCTTTAATACGTAGTCTGAAGTAGGGCTTTACGGCTACTGGCTCTTGCAGACCAGCGCGATGACGCGACGCGCTGGTCTGCAAAAGCAGACGTATCTTCAATACGTAGTCTGATATGGGCTTTATGGCCCTCGCACACTGGACGCGATGAGCGATGAGCGATGGGCGATATCCAATGAGAGCTCTGGTTTTTCGAAAAAATAAAGCTCTCATTGGATATCGCCCATCGTTCATCGCTCCAACCCTTCACCTGAAAGTGTAGACTGAAAGAATTTAAAGGAAATCGAGATTACAGATTACAGGACTGTGTGATTGATAGAGAGATATATCGCGAGTTTTTTAATCTATCTGTGAACGAAAAGCCACAAAAAAAATTGTTTCGATCACAAATTGTATAAAGTTTAATGTACGATATAAAGATATAGAAACCCAATGTATTAATATAAAGATTCACGATTACAGGATTAATAAAAAAATTCCACGAAGGCCTCCTTCACCTGCAGCTTCTGTAATGCATTCCCCAACGAGGAAAGTGATAATAAAAGGACAAAAGGAGTGGAAAATTCAGCCATGTATCAGCAATTGGAAAAATGCAAAGGTAGTTAAAAAAATTTTATGTCCAATATATATAAAAGAGATAATACTGGTATATAATAAGAAATGTATACTTTCGATTTTTTTGATTAAATGAAATTGTTTTTGATTTTAGGGTTATACAATTCCTTTGGATAAACGTCTTGCTGCAGATGATAGAGGTTTGCAGCAAGTACGCATTAACGAAGACTGCAAAATTAGCTGACAGTCTTTATATTGCCGATAGAAAAGCCCGAGAAGCTGTACAATTGAGGAAAAAGTGGAAAAAAGTATTTGTTTTATCTTTTATATTTTAAAAGTATTCATTTGTGTTTTTTTATTTGATTAAATCAAAGATGTAATAAGGAATGATACTTTTAATTTACTAAAGTATAATGCATATACGTTATCCATAGGATTTTGGAGGTGGAGGAGCATCTCCGGAGATACATATTGCACAAGATTCACTTGGAATGGGGATAAAACACAAGGAAATCACAACCGATGGGTTTGTAATACTTGCTGCAAAGGTAGTTAGAAAAATTTGATGCCCAATATACCTCAATATATATGAAAGAGATAATACTGATATATAATAAGAAATGTATGTAACTTGATTTCTTTGATTAAATGAAGTTGTTTTTGATTTTAGGATTCTCCAATCCCTTGGATTAAACATCTTGCTGCAGATGATAGACGTTTGCAGGAAGTACAAAAAGTTAAAGAAGACTTTGCAGAATTAGCTGAGAGTGTTTGTATTGCTCATAGAAAAATCCGAGAAGGTAAAGAAATGTATGCAAAATTTAAGAAAAAGATGGCTCAAAGAAGGAGGCTCATTTGAGACATCTCGACTAAAAGGCCCGAAAAGCGCGACATTAGGTTTGTATAATTGCATCTGATTTCTGATGATTGTAATAATAAAGAAGTATATTTGATGTGTAAGAAAAAAATTTTAATTAAGAAAAAATATTTTATAAAAAATCAAATAAAATAACATACGAGCAACGATTTATGGCCAATTTCTTATTTAAGGGTCTCTACTCTTGAACACACAGTTCTCCTATCGAAAAGTCCCTATCGATTAGCCAATCGACATATTTGACAATCTTGCTGTTTCTGCATTACTCGCGCGACTTTCTATGTACTTTTGATTCCGTGGCGAGAATATACGGACGTGATAGGTGATAGCAGAATTATATTTCGACGAAATCGTATTATCGCGAAGCTCAAATTGTTCTAAAACGGTAAAATCTGCGACACGGCATGGTGATCAGTGCTTACAGATGAAACTCGAAGATAGTTTTCCTTAAAAATGGTAAGTTCACAGGCTTATTTTGATATGTGCTATTTCGATATTTCGCCTATAAAGATAACCTCACATAAGGGACGGAAAATTACGTGCGCATGAAAAAGAGGGAAAACTTCGAAAAAACCTCGAGATACGGAGCGATTTCGGATTTTTTTTGCGTCATCGCGCAGTTTTCCGACTCGTTTCGTGAGAAAAATTCGCAGCCCTTGCACGTTTTTACTAGGAGAGAAACTTGTCATATGGTAGCATGTCGTGCTGTGTATTTCATTTCTTTCTGTTCTGTTTAATTCAAAAGCGTTTCTGTGCGTGCGACTTCGGTTTGTCAACCCTGTCGATTTGGCATGCGTAGAATATAAACGATGTTTTCAACAAATTTCTTTTTGTACAAGAAGATGCAAGTCACGAAGATAACCGTTGACGTAGATAGAGAAAAGGATAATATTTTTTTATAATAGATTCATGTCACACACCGTGTATCTCAAGCTATATGATACATTTGTATAATCTATAAAGGATAAAGTGTCATCTTTAATTCTGTGTATGTGCCATGTCACAAATTTGCTATTCTAATTATATCGTATAGCATCCATTTACAGGATTAAAGAAGATTTTAGCAAAGCTGATTAAATGATATATTGACAATGTGCCATAAATAGAATGGTTTAGTATTACACATGGCATTATAACTTTCAATTTTTTCTCGCATAGATTCTTAATAACACATCTATGGAAAAAAACAGTAAAATAATATCTTATTTGTGTAAAATTAGATTGTCATGATGCCATGGAAAAATTTCCACTGAAGGGTACAGCGTTCTTGAACTCTACAATCCCTCACTCAAATGCAAATGCTACAACATATCATTCAGTTGATGCAAAGGTATGTTAATTTCAATCTGCATCTTCTTGTCTTGTATTATCTGGCTATTATTTAGGCTTGAATCAATATTTTTTTTATGATGTGTATATATATGTATAAATATTATTTTATTTTTTTAATAATCTAACACATCTTACATATGTTCCTTATATGTATATTGTTGCATGTTAAAAATTGTCAAACCAAAAAAATAAAATAAATAT